GGTGCAAAAACTCGAGGTTTTTTTTTTTGCGATTTTGGTTGGGCTGGCGCGACCCTCTGCGGGGATCGGCGTGGTCGAGGTGCAAAAACTCGAGGTTTTTTGCGATTTCTGCGGTGCTCGCGCGACCCTCTGCGGGGATCGGCGTGGTCGAGGTGCAAAAACTCGAGGTTTTTTGCAATTTCTGCGGTGCTCGCGCAACCCTCTGCGGGAATCGGTCGAGGTGCAAAAACTCGAGGTTTTTCGCGACTTTTGTTGTTCGAACTGGTCCTCGGGAGTTGTCTCGTGGTTCGCGCGCCTGCTCCCGGAACCGGCGGGTCGCGGGTTCGATTCCTCCCTGGTCCGCGGGCGGGCGTCGCAAGAAGCAACTTGCATTTTAAAGCAACTTGCGCAGAGCAACTTGCGCAGAGCAAGTTGCACAGAGCAACTTGCGCAGACCAACTTGCACCGACCAGTTTGCGCAGAGCGCCTTGCCTAGAGCAACTTGCGCAGAGCAACTTACGCAGAGCAACTTGCACAAAGCAACTTGCACAGAGCAGCTTGCACAGAGCAACTTGCAGGGAGCGCAATTTGCACAGAGCAACTTGCAGGGAGCCACTTGCAGGGACCAACTTGCCGGAGCAACTTGCGCGGAGCACCTTGCGCAGAGCAACTTGCACAGTGCAACTTGCGTAGAGCAACTTGCGCAGACCAACTTGCTCCGACCAGTTTGCGCAGAGCACCTTGCCTGGTGCTGTCTCGCGCCAACTTGCACACACTGCAACTCGCACAGAGCAACTTGCAGGGAGCCACTTGCAGGGGCCAACTTGCCGGAGCAACTTGCGCGGAGCAACTTGCGCAGAGCAACTTGCACAGTGCAACTTGCGTAGAGCAACTTGCGCAGACCAACTTGCACCGACCAGCTTGCGCAGAGCACCTTGCCTGGTGCTGTCCCGCGCTTGCTTCACAAATGCTTCGTGGAGGGAAAAAGAACGCATCCTGCAGCGTTGGGCCGACCTCGCTTGCGATGTTATGCTTTCGGGCCAACCGTGGTCTAGTTTGTATGAGGCGTTTTTTTGAAGAAAGTCTGCGGTCAGTGGCGGAAACGTGGCTTCAGCTGGGACATGCTTCGTCCGTTTTCTTGTGCTTCGTGTTGAGTAACATTGTTACGCGCTGTGCAAGGTTCCCTTTTGGCCATGTAGGGCTGGGCCTCCTGCGCCCGCCAGATCCTTTTTTTGCCACTTTGATCAAGCTGGTTGGAGTCATGGGCAACAATGCGTACCTGAGCAGGCGTTGGATATAGATATGAACTTAAATTCACACGCACACACACAAACATGTATATATATATATATGATATTTATTGCAGAGATGCACAGGCATACTCACAAAACCACGACATGTGAATGAGACATAGCTGAAGGATGTTCTTCCCAACAAGCTGGGCTTCGTGAGATTTACCTTCCTTTTTCTGGTCCTCTCACCTTCTTTTGCCATGTTTTGCCGCTCCTTCGGAGCGTCAGCTTGAGGTGAGGTCCTTTGAAAGCAGGAGCACTGACACGGCAGATGGCAAAGACAGTGTGTTTGGGTTGGCACTCGCAGGGGTTGAGTGTTTTTTTTTTCCCCTTCGGGGTTGCCAGCAGACCTGAATGTTGGACTTGTGTGAAATGAGCCCGAAATGGGTTCCAGTTGTCAGGAACAGCCGGCTGCCAGGAGCTGAATGCAAAGTAAAACCTTGACTTTTTGGGGCCAACATTTTTGGGTTTCCTATTTTTTGAGGAACACCCACCTGGCTTGTCTTTTGGGTACTTTTTGTTTTCACTTGTTCCCACGGAAAACAAAGAAGATGGAACAACAAAAACAAGAACACCCGGGACTCCTCCATCAATTTGCCCCCCGATTTTTGGGCACTTTCTCGGTTCGCGGGCGAGGTGTATTTGGGGGACCTGGTGGCCAACGACGTGTCGCGCCTGGCGGTGCTGGACGCCCAGGCCTTCTGCAGCACGCTGGGCGCCAGCTGGGCCACCCACCAGGCGGCCAGGCGCTATGCCCAGAGCTTTCTGGACGGGGCACTTGGCTCGGGGGCCAAGGGCTATGGGAGGGGAGGAGGGAAAGGGATATGGTACGGGGGGGGGGAGGGAGGAAAGTGGGGGGGGGGGGGTCAGGGGGGGGTTAATTTATTTTTACTTGTTTATTTGTTTCTTCCTGGCAGTTTGTTCATTTCGGAACTTGAAAGCTCGGAGCGTTCGGAAGTCGGAAGTCGGGTAGGCAGGGCTGGTTGTTTCAGGCTGGTGCTGGCATTCTTGTTTTTCAGGGTGAGCTTTGGCCGTGGCCCTCTTTTGGGGGCCCACCGGAAACACACGGAAGTCCCCTGCCAGGTTTGAGCAGAACGCGCAAACGGCCGGGTTGCGCTTGCTTGGCATCTCTAGCTTGGTCGAAGTTCACTTCCTCCCTGAGCTCTGAAACGAAAAGCCGGAAAGGACCCCCACTAAACCATTCATGTTCATTCTGGGATTTGTTTTTGAACATGGGTTTGGCATTCGGCTGCCTCGAACCCGAGAAACGCGGGCAGGATTTGGGGACCCCTGACGGTTGGCTTGAGACTAAAGTTCCCCCTTCGAGCCGGACCCCAAAAGAGTCCGCCATGTGAGAAATAGCCCACCAGTGCTCCCGGGATGGTTTGATCCTGTGCGAGGAGTCGCTGAAAAAGCACAATCGCTGGACGGACATTCTGCCGGCGGTAGAGGATGACTTCTCCGTAGAGTCGAGAAGCCCCCCTCCATCTCAATGTTGCGCGGCGCTGAGTTGACAGGTGGCATGCGCGCGTGGGAAACTAGGTGTTGCCTAAAGCACGAGGTTGCTGCAGCACTTTGAGAAAGTGCCGGGGCGTGGTTTGTCCCCCCCGGGCCCCAGGCTCAACAAGCCCCTCTTTGATCAAACTCGCGTTGGGGACCCCTGCTGACGGACGAAATCCGCTCGCACCACTTGGAAACCATGGTTGAAACCATTGTTTGTTGGTGTTTGCAGGTTTGCAGGGGAGTCAACTCATTCCAGGGTTTCTTATATAGGTGGTGAGAAATGGGATTTTGCTCATATGAAACTGGGCTCAGTTCCGCGGAGCCAATGGCCCTGAACCGGAGGCCCGCGCCTTCGCCTAAAGTCGGTGGTGCCGACCCCGAACTGACCCGCACACGCGGGCACGCAGAGCGCTCTGAGCGCCTGCGATTCGCATGCCGGCCCTTGCCTTTGTTTTAAATCAGCTCAGGCAAGTTTAGGTCTCCCACCCTCAAACTTCAGCTTTTGCATGGACTGCTGGCCGCAGAAGGCATGAATTTGCTCGCCCATGACGTGGGTTTTTGTTTGCCCTCGCCAGAAACTTGTGCAGAGGTGTGTGTCTGTGTGGATAGCCGCCAAGAGTTTCGGCGAAGTCAGGTGCCCAGGGCGTTTTTCTTCACCACGCCCTGGAGGGAGAGAATAAAACAGAGCTGCGCTGGTGTACGTCGCATGTCTTGGAAGCTCCTCTTGGTTTCCCGCAGACGGTGTACAGCCCTTGGCTCGCGCGGCGCCATGAGTTTGCCGCTGCCCGGCGTCCTACCGGGCACGCCCGAACACTCTCCGGAAAGCAGATTTTATGTGCTTCTGCGCGAGCTGGCCGACTGCTGCCTAGCAGCAGGCATTGCGGGAGTGCGGATGTGTGCCCCGACCAGCTGGAGGGAATGAGGGTATGAGGGAAGATTCGGGCAAATGCGGTGCTGAAAGATTCAAGTTTCTAAAGGAAAGATGGATCAATGTGAATCTGGACATTTTTTGGCACAGATCTCGCAGGATCTTTTTTTTGGTTTCCATGAGCTCAGAGGTGCAAGCTGCCCTTTGCTCTGGCGTTTGGGCCAGCGTTCGGCCCAGGTTGCCCAGCCGGAAGACGGGCGCTGTATGTGCGAAGCGGCCCGGCAGAAGTTGGGGATGCCGGGAGGCGCAAGGTTTGGGAGAAGGTCAGTCCGAGTCCAAGAGGGTTCTTGTTTCTCTGCTTCTCATGGGTTTTTTCGTCGGTTTTCTCCATGTTTGATTTTGCAATCCCCGCCGCGCTTTCCTTCCCTTTTTTTGGGGGGGTGAGGGCTGCGGATACCGTGACCAGCGTGGAGGCCTTGGTGAAGAGGACCGGGCTGCGGCGAAAAAGGCTGTGGGTCAAAAATAGGTACCGAACCCTAGTAAGTGGAGAAACATTGAATTCCCCTGGTGGTTTAATTTTGACCCATACCCACAAAACGACGTTTTTTGGTTTTGCTCTGCCGGCCGTGGGCAGAGGGGAGAGAGTCAGGAGATGGGTGGTCCACCCCGGGAGCCGGGTGCGAAACTTTTGGAACTGCCTGGTGGCGGTGTGCGTGTCGCACGACCTGCTGGTGGTGCCCCTCTATGCCTTTGACCCTCCGCGCTCTGAGTTCTGGGAGTTCTTGGAGTGGTTCATGCTGCTGTTCTGGAACTTGGACTTCTTTGCATCCCTGTGCACCGGCTTCTACGATGAAGGCAGGCTGATCATGAGCTGGAAACGGATCGCGGTGAACTATGCCAAGACCTGGATGTTCTTCGACCTTTCGCTGATCTCCATGGATTGGTCCTTCCGAATCTTGGACTGGGCGCACCAAGCCCCCGGCAACTGGTCCAAGAGTTTGCGGATGCTTCGCTTCCTGCGGCTGCTGCGGATGCTGCGGTGGATCAAGCTGCGGAAGATCAACGAGGTCACTCAGGAGCTGTTTCACACCCAGGCAGGGAGAGACACTCTCCGCCCCTTTAAAACTGGAATTGGGGGAGGGGGTGACCCACCCCTCCCTCCTCCTTACGGTGGGGGGCCAGAAACTTGTCGAGGTTGCCTTCTAAAAAGAAGCGAGAAATCACAATGGGCAAGCTTCCTTAGGCTGCCAGCCTGTACTACGGGCTGTTCAGCAGCATTGCCACTCTGCTGGTCACGAACCACTTGCTGGCATGCGCTTGGTTTGCCATGAGCCACGTCTACGCAGAGAATTGGGTGACCGACCTGGGCATTGAGAATGGTTCCGTTGCTTGATTGCTATTGGGTTGACTTTCACTTTTTGTGAAGCCAACGATTTTTCCCATTGAGCCCACAAAAAGTTATACATTTTGCAGAGGGTTTTGCATTGAACCCACAAGAAGTTATACATTTTTTCGCAGAGGGGGTCAGCAGCATTTGAGGTGGAGTACCAGTACCTGACCTGCCTGAACTGGGCCTTCGCCCAGCTGGGCGTGGGATCCAGCCCGGCCCAAGCAACCAACAGCCTGGAGACGGCCTTCTGCATCTTCAGCGCTTTCCGGTCGCTGATCACCTCCTCCACGCTCATCAGCACGGTGAGCAACCTCATGGCCTGGCTGAGCAAGATCAAGGAGGCGCAGATCGACTCGACAAAAAGCGGGCGATCGGTGCGCGAGAGAGATGGCAGGGAACTGAGACACGGAGCATGACCCTATGATAAACCCTCCCTTGCTGGTGGTTTCCTTTAAACAGACCTCGGACCCCTGGGGTTCATTCCATTTCTCATCCCCGGGCCCCGACCACTCGCACAGGACGAGAGCGACGAGTTCCGCAGGCTGCGAGCCCACCTGGCGAACCACAACATACCTCACGCCCTGAGCCAGAAGATCACCAACTTCTTGCAGTACCAGTACGCCGTCAGGAAGGAAGCAAGGTCGGGTGGTCTCCCCGGCGCGCGCGTTTTTTTTTTTTTTGTTCCCCCTCTTCCCCACACGCAAGCTCACCTGTGAGCAACTTGCCGGAGTTGAACATGGAGGGCGAGTTGTCATTGAACATCCGGAGTTGAACATGGTGGGCGAATTGTCATTTAGCAGTAGTTGCCTTCCTTGTTTGAGTCAGCTGCTCCACGTCGCCTCCTTGCTGTCAGGTCCGCAGATGTGGCGGTGCCGTTGCTGGACTTGCTCTCGCAGCAGCTGCAGGGGGAGCTGCAGTTTGCGAGGTAGCTTCCCCAGAATTAGCTCTTTGTTTGTTGTTGATTTTTTGGGGTCCCTTTTGTTTTCCCCGAACCAGGCAAAACAGATAATTTGGCTGTGGGTCAAAACCAATGGGATCCCATTTTGGGGTAGGTGAATTCACCACCCATTTTAGAAACCTATTTTAGTGGTTGGATTGGGATGTTCACTGGGGGTACGGGCTTTTGATTTTGGCCCATGGCCATTTTTTGCTGCGGTCCTACTTCCAGGTACGAGCAGGCCCTGCGGAAGCTGGTGCTGCTGGAGGAGCTCATGGAGACCGCTGACCGGCAGGCGAGCCGCGTGCTGCTCAAAACCGAAACCGTTTGCTCAAGAAAATTTATCATTTTCCCTTGTTGGTTTTAAATGGAATTTATCACCACTGGACATATGTGTATTTTTTTCCAGGGATCTTGACCGAATGGAAGAAAGGGACAATCCCTTTGCCATAAAAATCGCTGATCTCCGGCTTCTTGATTCCTGAAGCATGGCTCTGGGGATCGCCCATTTTAGTTCCGGGTTTTGAGCAAGCTCAGGTGGTCCATACCTTGCACTGCCTGGCCGTGCGCGCGGTGCGGACCACGGTGGTGGCCGGCCAGGACGTGGTGTTCCTCGCCGGGCAGGAGGCGGACTGCGCCTACCTGAAGCTCACGGGGGCGGTGTCTTACCTCCTCGACGGCGAGCGGAAGGAGTTCGATGAGTCCGGCTGGATGGCGGAGGTGAGCTTGCGGCTTGGCTGCGCCTTAGGAATCAGATCCTTCAACTTTAATGTTGACGGTGTCTCCGGTTTTAGTGGAGGATTTATCACCTTTCGCGGGGAACACCCCGATAATGTTTAAACAGGTTTTATTCATCCGGGGTCAACATTCACCTGGGATAAATGGAGGGGGTTTTCCCAAGAAAACGAAGGCCTCAACGTTCAACCCACCGGCGCTGTGGCAGGTGGGTCCCCTGGTTTTACCTCGGGGACCTGGTCTCGGAGGACGTCACCCGCCTGGTGGCGGTGGACGCGGAGGGCTTTGCCAAGGCCGTGGGCAAGTGCTGGACGACGCAACGCAGCGCGCGAAACATGGTTGTTGTTGGGAAACATTTTTGTTGGTACTTTTTTTCCCCCCCCGCTGCTTGTGGTTTTGACTGCTATTGGGTTGGATCTTTAGACTTTAACTTTTTTGGAACTCAAGTTGGGTTTTTCACTAAACCCGCAAGTGAAACATCTTTTTCGCTTATTGTGGTTTAGTGGTTGGAATCCAACCACTTAACTGCTAGAATTTAGTTTTTTCTCCCCCCTCCAACGTCAACCAAGGAAAGTACGCTGCCCGGTTTGTGGAGGCTTGGCTCAAGAAGCCAAGGGCAGCCGAGTGGATCTTTTCCAGCGTGTTGCCTCCATTTGTTTTTTCGTCCCCTGGAGGAAAAACACACATAATTCCAGTAGTGATAGATTCCCTTCAAAACCAACGGGGGAAAATAAAACACATTCTTAACCAAATAGAAGGTTAGAAGCAGGTTCTGAGGGTTGTGAGCGCTTTGACATCATTCAAACGCGCTTGCGCGTTTGAGGCCCGAAGTCTCTGGGAATTCACTTGCAGCTGGCGCTGTCAGAATCAGCTGAGGAAGTGATGCAGAAGGAGACCAATTGGTCAGACATGCTGACGCTGCGCCCCGCGTTGCCTCGCACCCATTCCATCCTCACGGCGGCCAAATCTGGGCACTGCTGCTGCTAGACTGCAATGTGGAGGGGGGGGGGGTCGGGGAAAGATGGGTGGACATCCCTTGGGTTTTTCATGTGTTGGACATTCAGATGACAAGCAGCGCGTCACTCGCGGCGGCAAGTGGGAGGGGGCAAAGTTGGAGGGAGCAAGCGGAATTCGCCGAGGCGGTCTGACATAGAAATGTGAAAGCACATTTGGAAGCCATTGGATCGCCACCAGGTCCTCTTCAATCTTTGTCTTACTTGCAAAGCCAGTTTTGAAATTGGGTTGGGATTGTTTGTCCACCACCGCCATCCAGCAAGCAGGCGAGCAAACGAGCAAGCGCTTGCAGCAGGACATCCCAAGCTGACCCTGAACAAACCCCAAGCCAACCTTGAACCGCCAAACCACTTGACCGTACACCTCCCCTGGAACCTGAAACCTGAGCCCACTCAAGGCAACTCTGAACCATAGCGAGGTGGGAGAAAACTTGGCCCATCCCCAAACCACTACCTGCAAGAGGAGAAGCACTTACACATATGTATATATATATATATACATGTATGCATACATATTTCTGAACTATATTCACCACTGTGATGCTACTCACTGGTGGTGGTTTATGCACGGCATTGTGACACTGCATGCCAATCGGGCGGTTCCATATCCTTTATTTCGGTTCAGTTTTGGCATGCCGTTCTTACTCGTGCTTCAGGCCCGGACATCTTCAAGAGGAAAGGAAGGGTTGTTGGCTTCGATGAGGTGGTGTCCAACGACGGAGGTACGGGCAAGAAAGCAATAGCTGAAAAGAAAGTTGTTCATGCGTGTCCTGCTGGCAGGACATGGGCTGAGCAACGGCCGGGTGAGTCAGTGAGGTTGCCAAACGGGCAGTGGCCTTGCCCAAAGCCCACCTGCGTCTGGGGCACTTGGCTTGTGCCACGTCAGCGGCACGGACTTCCGGTGCCGATGATTTCAGCAGTGGCTGCGGTCTGCGCAAGCTGGATTTTCACCGCATCAGGTTCCTTTTTTTTCTCTTTTCTCGCGGGCTGAGTGGCAGTGATCTGCCAAAGCAGCCGGCTGAGGTTGCGCTTCCAAACCCTGAGGCGCATTACTCCTGGTTTGTTTGAACATGGATCAACTCTCTTTTCCCGGCGGCCGGCACGGCTAAAAGCTGTTCGCCAGCCCCGTGTGCCAACGGGGGCCCTTCTCCCAAATAGTTCTCAGGCGATTGCCAAGGGGAGCGAGCAACGGGTCTTTGTGCACGCTCAGCTTGGCAAGAATAGTTGATTGGCACTGTGAGCCCGGATTTTTGCCCGGCGAAGCAGCGAGCTTTGAACTCAGCTGCTGTTCGGCTCGGGCAGCTTGCAAGCATCGAGAATCCATGCCACGAGCTTCCCGACGGTTTTTCGGCTTGATGCATGGCTGTGCCACCTGGTGCGTTTCCGGCCTTATGTGCAGCTTGCGGAGAAGCATGGGGCAAGGCACAGCCAACTTCCGCCTTTGTGTCGTAGCACCCTGCTCAGTTGGAAAATGAAGGTGAGCCAGCGAGGACATCCTGCACGCGCCTTCACTCGCAACATGTCCGTCAGTCGGAGCCTTCCATGGCGAGACGTTTCGTCTCAGGCAATGAGCTGAACGACTGGGAGCGTTCCATCGCTCTGCTCCAGGCCTGGCTTCGAGGCGCTGTTGTCACTCCGCACGCGCGGAGACGAAAAATCGCCAGGCCTTGCGCGAGGAGCAGCTGCTGCCGGCCCTGGCCTTGAGAAACGCCGACGCGTCCGACGCGACCGGCGCGTCGGCCAGGGGTTTCCGAGGACCTCATCAGCTTCAACGCGGCGCTGCACACCTGCACGGGCGCCGCTCGCTGGGAGGAGGCGCTGGGTCTCGTCCAGGCGCGGCGCGCGCGCGGGTAGCGCGCGGGTAGCGTGGGGTCGAGCCCGTCGGCCTTAAGCCCTTAAGCTGCAAGTGGGAATGTTGCATTGCCTCCCATGCAGTTTCCGTAGCATCGCAAGGGTGCTGGGGCGAGCCAGGAGATGCCCTGGCCACAAAAGAACCGCCAGGGTGGTGTTCTTGCCCAGTGGCTCTTGCGACTGTAGTGAGTGGGTCGAAGCTGCAGGAGCTGCGGATGGAGGCCCTGCGCCCGGACATCTACAGCGTCACAGGGGCCTGCAGCGTGTGCAGCCATGCGGGTCAGTGGTGGGCGCCCCAAGTGCGACTCCTCGTTTTTTTAATTCTTTTTTCTTTTGGTTTGTTTTCTTTGGTTCTCCGCCTGTTTCGTTTGCGAGGCAAAGGGCCCTGGCCCTGGCAGAAGAAGCGCGGAAGGGGCGGCTGCACCCAGATGCCTTGCTCTTCAGCCGGGCCTTCAGAGCAGGGTGATAGTCGAGAGGGGAGATGGGGACGTGAGGGTTTGCGGCTGAGGTACCTTACTCTTTGCCTGCGAGAAGGGGTCGCAGTGGGAGCTTGCGGTTGAGATCATGGCCGACATGTGGCCTCGGTGCACCAGATTCCTTGATTGTCAGTTGGTTAGGAACACGCGTGCCATTCTATTCTCTGAAAACTCGCCATGCGCACATTCAACGTGTCTGGTTTTCTGCCGTCTTTGGTTCTTGTGCCTTGTTTTTGCCCGTGTTTTCTTCTTCGTCTTTTTTTTTGGGGGGGGGGCGGGGGGGGCGGAGCCGTTGAAACCACCTCCCCCGGCTTTGCGAGGCGGCGCTCGGAGGTGGCCCTGGACGCGCTGGGCTGCGGCATCGCGATCCGCGCCTGCGCGGCGAAGGGCAGCTGGGACCTGGCGCTCTGGGTCTTGGCCGGCGGGCGCCCAGAGAGACGGGGCTTGACTGGGCAACGGATCTTTAGACTTGAACTTTTGGACATCAAGTTTTATTTTTTTTGATCTTTAGACTTTCACCTTTTGGTTGAAGTCAAGGGGAATGTTTTCCACCAAGCCCCCCAAAAGTGAAAAACTTTTTGCAGGGGGTTCATTGCAGCAACCAAGTGGGAGGAAACAAATCGGGAAGTTCTCGGAGGTCAGGGGGTTCAGAGGCGCCCAGCCGAAGGAGGGAGGAAAAATATGCGGGACGTTCGCGTGAAAGTCCGGGGCTCGGATGTGACTTTTTGTTGGGAACTTCCGGGTTTTTGTAGGGGAGCCAGCCGAAGGGAGGAGACAATTTCGGGAAATTCGCGGCGGTCCGGGGGTCAGATGATGCTTTTGTTGGGCACTCCGGTTTTCTGCCGAAGGAGGGAGGAAACGTGTCGGGAGATTCTCGGAGGTGCGGGGGTTCAGAGTTTTGGTTCAGGTGCTTGGGAGCTTCCGGGTTTTCTAGGTTTCAAGGGGAGCCATGCTTGGTTTTGGTGTTTGCACTCCAAGTTTTTGGTTTTCAGGGGGCTTGGTGCCACCAGGAAAGAGCACAGAGCCACTGGTTTGGGGTTCCGACGCGACGGGGCACGGCACGCTAGATGAAAACGGCCCGACGCGACTGCGGCGCTAGGCTGTGAGAAGCCGGGGCCGCAAGCCTTCCTGGCGGCGGTGGATGCCGTAGAGGCTCTGAACAACTAAGACCCCCCCATCCTCGCAAGTTGGGACCCTCAATCTCTTTCGCAACTCCAAGGCTCACTTTCGACAATCCCCGGGATGGGCGAGCATCAAGCGGGCCTTTTGGTGTCCTTTGGGAAGGCGGCCTCCCCGCCGTCAGCGCGCGCCGAAATCGCGCGGATGCGAGGCCAGCGGGGCTCCGGCCACCCCAGAGCTCTTCGAGGAGCTGTGCCGCAAGGCGGCGTCCAGGCGTCCGCGCGAAACCCTCCGTGGCTTTTGGCTTCGCTCCTTTGGCCCGTGCCCATCGTTTTTTTTTTGGGGGGGGGGGAGATCTGGCGAAGGCTCGGACCAGAGTTCGCTTTGATTCATTGAGCCGTGGAGGGGATCTGCCGTTTTCGCACTTGTCCTTTGGTAAAGAACGAGTTTGTCCTGCCGTCCATCCTGGACATTTGTGAACAGCAAGGACTTGTGTCAGATATTCCGTGCAAATCTGGAACAGAACAGCTCGAACTTTTCATTGTCACTATCATTCTTGCTTCCTCCAGGCAAAGGGTTGTCAGTTTTCGCTATCAAGATGTCTGAAGGCTCCTGAGTACATTTGCATGAACCAATTCCACAAATGGCAGGCCGCTAGCAGTCGCAAGGCACAGCTAGTTCTTTCTCAGTGCGCTGCCAGCTTGCTAATTGGATGTCGCGTCAGCCAATGTTCCAGCACTTCACAATATTCAACTTTAACCCTTTCCCACGTTTCCGAACTCGGACTTGCAAACGCTGTGTTGCGTCGCGGCTTGGTGAAAAGGACGTGACATCTCAGAAACATCGCCTGCGAGACCTGGCTTTGCTCCGAAAGAGCGGCTTAAGATGATCACACTTCCAGGTTTGACGCCAATTGGAGGGCCAGGTGAAGAAAGGACATGTGTTTAACAGGTTTTCAAGGTGGATGGGCACCCCTAGCACGGCCGCATGAAAGATGGTTTTTGAGTCCGAAGACCGCCCCCGCCAATCGCCCTGCCAGTGCGGTCTTCTGAGCCGAGCTCGGCCCAGTGATCTTCGCGTGGTCGTTCTGACCCAAGAGTGTCGTCGTTTGCCATGTTGCGCGGGCGGGATGGACGGCCAGATTGCCAGAAACGGACGAAAGGGAAAGGGTCCCAAAGGAGATCCCTGAAGCTTGTGCTTCTTGGATTCCACGACTCAGCCTTTGCTTTCGTGTGACCAAAATTCGCGCAAACGCGGCCCTCGGCTCAGCTCACTCCAAAGCCCACAGCCAGAACTCCCCCCCCCCCATTCCTCAGCCGCGCGTTTTCAGAGGCGGAGCGACCGGTTCTCCCCGCCTCTTCTCCGGAAGCATCGACCGATCGACTGGTGCGCGGCTCGCGCGTCCTCCGGCCATGAGCGGCCGGGCGAACCACGAGGAGGTGGAGCCGCCGGGCCTGGAGCTGGAGGCAGTGCTGGCCATGGTTTTTGGGAAACATTTGACGCATGTTTGTCGCTTATGGTTTAGTGGTTGAAATCCAAATCCATCTAACTGCTAGAATTTCCATTCGCCACATTTGTTTGCTTATTGAGTGGTTTAGTGGTTGAAGTGCAAATCCAGCTAGCTGCTGACTTTTTTTTTTTGGGCTCCCCAAACCCAACGTCAATGAGCAGGAGGGCAGCTTCTGGCAGCTGCATCGCCAGCTGGCGGACTGCCACGCGACAAGCAGAGAGAGAGAGCGAGCGAGACCCGCTGGCAGGGGAGAAGGCGAAGGAAGGGACCAGCGTGTGGGTGTGTGTGTGTGTGTATTTGTATTTGTGTATAGGTATATATATATATATATACAAGTGCACCAACATTTGACCCATTTGAAAAGGTTTCTTGTGGGAGCATATGGCGCCTGTGGATTTCGTGTGAACCTGGGCGCATCGGCCAGGACCTGCGTCGGCCTTGTCCGTGGGGACGAAAGACACAGGTTGAGGGTCTGCTCCACTGGTTGGGTAAGTAGAGGGTTTAGGGTACATCTTGAGCATCCAGTCTCGCTCTCTGGAAGTGTGAAGTGTGACGTGTGACCGTGGCCGTTTGCGCTCAGGTTATGTGGCGGACATTGCCAAGCTGGGCAAACGTGTCAGCGTGTCCATGCCCCCATGCTCTCCGCCAGAGATGCTGTTCGAGCAAGACCGCAGGGATTCGATAGACTCCCATTTTAGGCCGGGAGTAGCGCGACTTGCCGCGGGCCGTGCGAACTGGTTGGCCCTGAATTGGATGCGTGCCGGGGTCAAAATCACCCCGTGCGTTTGGGCTGATGGGGCTTTTCACCCATCAAAGGTCTGCCATCCCTCAAAAACAGGAATTGATCGCTGCGCATCGAATCAACGAAGCGGACGAGCCTGGACTAGCATGGCCAGGATCACCAATGCACGTCCCAACTCATTTTCCAGGGAAATCGTGCTCGCGAGTTTGGGCACGGGTTAAACAAAAAGGATGGCTGGTACGGTGGCACAGGACCTCGAAGAGCAACAAGAAGGACACCTTGAAGCCCCCGTCGCGGGCTCCTTCCATCGAGAATCCCAAGTCCAGCGAGACCCCGACCGTTGCCCAGAGGCGCCCAGGGAGGTTTGAGCTCGAAGGGGGGTTCGTCACCGCCGGAGGAGGGGAAAAAAAGAACAAAAAATCTCCACCACCACCCCAAGCCCTGTACGAGTCCTGAGTTTCCTCTCTCGCGCTGGGGGAGTGCGCAGCTGTTGGTCTTCAATTTGAGCCCCAAAGTCTGGGCCATTTTTTCACTTCTCTGGAGCAGCTCAAAGACTCAAAGCTGCGGGCCTTCGCGTTGCTTCAGCTCAAAGACTCGCCGCGACTTTGTCTTCGGGCCATTTCGGGCTTTCATTTCGGGGGCCATTTCGGGCTAGGAAGGACCGCACCTTGAAGACGCTGCTGAACGTCCAGGGCCTGCAGCCCACCGCCTCCGAGACCTTCGACCTGCGGGAGCTGGACCTGAAGGTGCACGAGCGCTGGGACGCGGCGCGGGCCAAGCAGCAGAAGCACTTCGCCAAGAAGAGCCTGGAGGACGGCAGGTCCAAGACCCAGGCCATGCGCCTCGGATCTGGGACGGATCTGGGAGCAAAAAACATCCGGAGAAGCGAGAAAGAAGCGGGGAGAAATCGCGGGGCCCAGGACCTCAGGAGAAAAGCGCCAGTTTCAGTCTTTTTCTTTTTTTTTTTCGTGGTCCCTCGTTTTTTTTCTTCTTCATTTTTTTTTTTTAATCATTCGCGGCCCTCAACGGTGAAGCTTTTGATTGTCTGGGTGCCTGAAGGCCAACCGGTTTCTAGCGGGGTGGTTTGGAGGTGTTTTCCCGGGTGGCAATGCAAATTCCCCCTACAAGACCAAGGGGTTCAAATCCCAAATCATCAATGCAAGCTACTATGTTGTTGGTGCCCCTGAATATCAGTGGGCACCTTTTTTGTTGCGTTGCTGAGTCAAGACCCTCTGGACGCAACGGCAGAGAGAGAGAGAGAGAGAGAGAGAAATCCAAATCACCCACTACAGGGATGCCTGGCCTAGGTCCCCCAGTAGTGCCCTTTCTCACCCTTTTTTGGGGGAGGGTTCCCCTACCAAAATAGACTACAGAAAAAGGATCGGGTACCAACTACTTCTAACCTCTCTGGAGGACCTAGCCAAAAAAAGGGTGGTTTCCGAAACAACTCCCCCCCCCAACAAATTAATTAGAATATGTCCAAAACAAATGGGTGCGGCTCAAAATAAAGCAGGAGGGGCATACCGCAGGAATTTTGGTCCATGTGTTTCCATTTGCCAGGGCAACCCATTTTGGAATTCCGGTTTTTTAAGCCACAGCCAAATCGCAAAGCCCAACGGTCAACCCATTGGCTCGGATCCGAGGCAGCCAGTCATGACTGTGGCGGAGGAGCTGCCTCGAAGGACGCTGGAGCGAGGTTTTGGGAGCCGCTGGCGTGTAGACATCACCCCTTTCGGTAGGATGATAGGTAGATGGATGGATAGATAGACGGATACATAGATTGTTGGATGGATGGATTTAGAGATTTAGATATGTATATAACTTTTAACATCCATTTCTTTATCCATCTCTTTTCTCTTTTACATTTCTATCTTATATTAAGGATTCTCTTACCTTGGACGGAATTGATCAATAACTGAGAAATGCAATGAAGAAAGGACAGATGTAAGAGAAAGGAATAGATAGATAGATAGATAGATAGATAGATAGATAGATAGATAGATAGATAGATCTAGAGATCTAGACACGTATAAAATTTCATATTGACACACAATTTGAAACGAAGATGCAAGTGCATCTGCAGACGAGATAAATGGGGATGTGACCTTCCCCTGACACCTGCGGGCAGAGGGCAGGCGCGTGTCTTGCGGCACTCGCTTTGCTTCGCTTCAGGCGGTGTGTGCTTCACCCGGGGGGGCGCTTCAAGACGTGCTGGAACGTGATGGTGGCGGCGTGTGTGCTGCACGACCTGCTGGTGATCCCCCTGAACACCTTCTCCTTCCCCCAGAACGTCTTCTGGGACTTGACGAGCTGGCTTCCAGACAAAGACTTTGGTTTTCATTTTGCCAAGGGATGTTAGGACTGAATAACTTCTTGCCAACCAATGGGTTTTCCGTATTAAACCACTAAAAGTTAAACTTTTAGGGGAGCAGAAAGCGACCGAGAAGAGGAAACGGGGCGGGAACTGGAGGTTTCATGCGGTTTCTCATTTAGGAACCCGGTGATTGCCTTTTCACCTTTTGTTGGTGCTGTGGAATGTTGGCCAGGGAGGCATTCAGAGAGCCATTGAGTGGTTGGCAACAAGTAATTATCACTGCTCCAACTGAGAGCAGGAAGTTGGCTGGGTCCAGCATTCTGACTGTTGTCAGGGTAGATATGGGTTGGTCAACGCCAGATTTCCCTGGAGCGTCTCTTTGCGGCCTGGAGAACGTTTCAAATGACGACCATTAGCGACCAGCACTCCATGCACGGGGTGGGGCCACTTTTCTTCCCAGAATTAGCTCCCCCCTTGTGTTTTTTTTTGGGGGGGGTCCCTTTGTTTTCCACTAACCAGGCCAAACAGATCATTATTTTTTGCTGGGGTCCTAGTTCCAGCCTAGTATTTTGTGCAAAGCTTAAGATGCACATCGTGGAGGCTTAGGAGGGTCTTAGGAGGGTCTTATGAGGGTCTTATGAGGGTCCTAGGAGGGTCTTAGGAAGGTCCTAGGAGGGTCTTAGGGTCTTAGGAGGGTCTTAGGGTCTTAGGAGGGGCTTAGGGTCTTAGGAGGGGCTTTGAAAGCTGGAGGTCCGTCCAAGTCTTTTGGAACCTGGACTTCTTCGTGTCGCTCTTCAGCGCCTTCTATGACGAGGGCGCTCTGGTGATGAGCTTGCCCCGCATCGCGGCGCAGTATGCGCGGACCTGGATGCTCTTTGATGTGACCATGATCTCTATGGACTGGTGCTTCAGGACACCCACACCTCATGGGGGCTGGGGGGGGTGGAGGGGAGGGGGAGGGAAGCCCTAAATCCCTCCCCCCCCAGCCTGCATGAAAACCCAAGTCAGCCCAAAACCAAGGCGCCAGAGTTGCCATGTCTTGGGTCCAGGAACTGAGCTGCGTCCCGTGGGGAGTGTCGACGTGTATTGCTCAGAGCGCAGGGGTGTGTCACATTTGTCCGTCCGAGGTGCGTTTGTCAAGCCATTTACTCGAAGAGTTGCCATTGACCGGGTCGCTCAGCAGTGGTTAGGGAAGTGCGTGTCTGAAGTATCGCTTGGCATCGCTTGGGGATGCCTCTTAGCGTCGCTTTGCTCTGCTTCAGACCTTCTGGTGGTTCAGAAGTCTTAGTCAGGATTCTGCACGCATCTGCCGGAAAGGTCGTCCTGCCATGGCGCCTCAACTTGTAGGGTTGCGCCTCTCATTCTGTTTGCCCGACCCTTTGAGTTCCATGTTGTGCGCCAGAAACACCCCCCAAAAATGGACACCGTTCGCGACACGTTGACTTCGCCCTGCTGAACTTTGGTCCCTAGTTTTGGCGTGCGCTTCGGTGCGTGGATAGCATTTGTCCTTTCAGTTGCAAATTGGCAGCTGCCTTCTAGTGGTCGAAGGAAGACAACATGATCCCAAGCACCTGCTCTCAACTTCCCTTCGCACTCTTAAATTTAACTAGACATCCTCTCCTACCCCCATCAACCCACCTGAAATACCCAAGCAGTCCCAGAAAACATCAACGTCTTCGTCCGATTTAAGACCTTGATGTATTCTTTTCTTGCTCGTGCTCAGCAGCGAATGAGACATGGAATGAACCCTATAGACCATCCAACTGGTTTCCTTCTTTCGGGAATCCCCCAAACCGGTTCATTCCATTTCTCTACCGAATTCGCACCAGCAAACCTTCAAGTTTTCTTTTTGCCATTAAAAATGGTCCGAGAGCAAAAAGTTCCGAAAGTCCAGAAACTTAGACAAGTCTTGATCTCTGGAGTCTGAGGGTCCTTTCCTGTCAGGATCATGGATATGGTGGACTCGGAGCAAGCGGAGTCCATCATGTGGTCCAAGAGCTTGCGGATGCTCCGCTTCCTGCGGCTCATGCGGATGCTCCGCTGGGTGAAGCTGCGCCGCATCAACGAGATCTTCCAGGAAGGTGGTTGCTCTCGTGCGGGAAGGCTATGGGTCAAAACCAATGGTAACTACCAATTTTGGGTGGGTGCACCACCCATTTTAGTACCTATTTTAGTGGGGATTGGGATGTTCACTGGGGTACGGGGTTTTGACCCATGGCCGTCAGAGTCCGGCAGGTTTCCCAGGAAGACAGGGGGAAGAAATTGGGGGTTGAAGATTGCCTCATTCTTTTCAACCATCGTTCTCTTTTTCAAAGCCAGTTGTTTCTCCTGGGTTTTCATGGTTTCCTGGAAAGAAGGATCCTGGGAAAGACGGGGGAAGCTTCCCCTGGAACTTAACTGACAAACTTCAATGGCTGCCAGCGTCGCAAAGGTGTTTCTTCCAAAGGGAAAGCCATTCCTGGTCGCTTTAGAGCGTTCAGGAACAGGGAACATGGCCATGGTAGGCTTGCCGTCTCACGTCCGTGCCACCATCCAAGTTGCCGTATTGATAGAGAACTGAACAACGTCCCAACTTTGTTTTCCTTGGAGCGGCTTCTTGCTTTAGCGCGTAACGGGCGGTCGCAGCCCCACCCTGTCAAGCCGAAGGTCCAAAAACCAATTTGCTTGGACTGCCTCTGACTGCCGATTTTTCGCCCTCCTAGGAGTTCTTCCACTCCCAGGCGAGTCGGGGGACCGGGGGCGCGCGAATTTCGCGGCAATCGACGCCGTTTTGGGTTCTTTGTGGAGATACCCTCGTGGGGGGGAAGCACCCTCGTCAAGTTGTGCGCGCTTGTGAACATGTTGCAGGTGCGATAGGTAGGGAATCTGGGAATTAACCTGGGGGTGCCCTTAAAGGAAACCATCAGGTGGATGGTTTTCTCTAGGGGTCAGACTCCAACTCTGATTCCCTGCATCTAAAACGTACCGATCGCAAGTTCAGGGGCACCGGTCGGTCTGGCAACTCTTGATCACACTGGGTCGGTTTGGCTCTTGATGGTAGGCCGCCAGCCTTTACTACGGGCTCTTTCACAGCATCGCGACGCTGATGGTCCTGAACCACCTCATCGCGTGCGCTTGGTTTGCCACCAGCCACATGGACGAGATGAATTGGGTGACGGACCTTGGGATCCACAATGACCCCGCGGAGTACCAGTATCTCACCTGCATGAACTGGGCCTTCGCCCAGCTGGGCGTGGGATCCAGCCCGGCCAAAGCCACCAACAGCCTGGAGATGGTCTTTTGCATCGTCATCGCCTTCAGGTCACTCATCACGTCCTCCACACTCATCAGCACAGTGAGCAACCTGATGGCCGGGCTCAGCAAGATCAAGGAGGACGAGAACACCGAGTTCCGGCTCCTGCGGTGCTACCTGGCCCAAAACAACATTCCAATCGTCTTGGGCCAGAAGATTACACATTTTCTGCAGTACCAGTACACACTGAGACAAGAAGCGAGGCGCGATCCCTTGTCGTTGGATGTATTGCATTGGGCTGGCACACGCCCCCTTTCACCTCCTTTCAGCTTTGGTCGCGCCTTTTCCTTTCTTCTCAATTGCTCACTTCTTTCACATTTTGTTCACACTGGTGCCTCTTGTCACATTTGTGTCATGTCTTCACCTTTCTTGATCTCTTGGTGTCCTCTTTCGGCTCATATTGACTCTGATGTCCGAGAGCCGTGCCGGGGCCAACTCGAATCCGAATGCGTCCGGCAGGTCAGCCGACATGCAGGCAGGATGGGTCCTTGCAAGGGGCCAGGGCCCACGGGTTCTTCCGATGGCTCAGATGGCGAAGATGTCATGATTTTGACCCAGCCCCGTGGTTATTTGTGGGGATTCATGCAAAGACTGCTTCGAGGTGATGAACACATGCGTCACAAAACCCGCATCCTTGCGGGGATTCGTGTGTTGGTTCAACCAGGTCCACTTCGAGGTGATGTTTCTTTTCCAGTCCTAAACAATCCCGAGCCACGGCCAAGGGCTCCGGTTCCCCCAGTCTGTTTAATCCAGAGTGGCTGGCTCGACTCCCGCGCCGCGGCCAAGTCCTATGCGTTCGCAGATCGATTTGTCCGAAAACTCTCGAGCCGTGCCCTTGACCTCCGGGCTCCTGGCTCCGGTTTGTTCGCAGGTGCCGCTGCTGGAGCTCCTGTCTCAGCAGCTGCAGGGGGAGCTGCAGTTCGCGCGCTACGAGGAGTCCCTGGCCAAGCTGCGGCTGGTGGTGGCGCCCCGGCGTCGAGTTGGCGGGTTCCGGGCGGGCGAGCCGAGGGATGTCGGGCGACCGGGGGGGGGGTGCGCTGGGCACCTGGGGTGTTTTTTGGGGTTCGGACCCGTTTTTTCGTGAGAAAAGATTGGAAGCTCCACCGTTCAAGCACGGGGCAGCTTCAATTGTTGGTGGGTTGAACTGTTTTTTTGTTGGAACAGCCTGGAGGCTAGGCGGTAGGATCCTTCACTTAATCTTCGGACCCGTTTTTTCGTGAGAAAAGATTGGAAGCTCCACCGTTCAAGCACGGGGCAGCTTCAATTGTTGGTGGGTTGAACTGTTTTTTTGTTGGAACAGCCTGGAGGCTAGGCGGTAGGATCCTTCACTTAATCCAGTTGGATTTCGACCAGATCCAGTGGAATATATAGCAAACTTTTGCAGGTCAACAAAATGAATCGCCCGAAATCCGCTGGGCGGCTGGTGGAGCATTTCCGATTGGTTTCTGAAATCCGAATCGGGGTTTCTTCTCAGCTCCCCTTTCAACGGGTGATTTTCTTGCTGTTGCGACAGGCAGCGCATGTGAGATGGAATGACTACTGGTTGTGGGGATTCCCGAGTAAAGGACGCCACCACTAAAACAACCAAATTGGATGGATGGTTTGTAAAGGAAACCGCATCGGTTGGACGGTGGGAATGTGAAATGGCATGAACCTGGGGGTGCCCTTAAAGGAAACCACATCGGTTGGATGGTTTTTTTCTCGGGGTCGACTTCCAAGTCTCTCATTCCCTGCATCTAAACCGCACCGATGGTTGACCAATCCGACTTGGGGGGCGCTCTCCTTTCAACCTTGCTCAGCCCCAGAAACCAGCCAACTGGTGGTTTCCTAGGAGATCCTGAGGTTCATGGGGGCTTGGGGGGAGGGAGGGGAGGGGGAAAAATACAGAAAGGGGATTTGAAGGAACTGAAAATCCTTTCTGTATTTTTTCTATCAACCAATGAAAAACACATTGAAAAACCAAGTATCAAATAATAGATAAGGTTAATAAATCACAACCTGATTCATTCTAAGTAATTCCTAGAAAAGATACACACCTTATCCATTATTTTTCCACTACTTAACCTATTTCATTTTACTATTTGTTTACCCTTATTCATTTTATATTTTAAGTCTTTTTCCAATTCTCAGAAACTCCAGTTGTTCTTCATTTTTTCTTTTTACCTTATTCATTGTTCACGAATTTTTCACTCAGACTTAAAAATATGACTAAAACACATTTCACCTAATAGTTCCACAAAACCAAACAGTCAAAGCACACAAGAAAATTAAGAAAATATAATAATTCAATCTTTACAAACGATAAATATATTACAATTATAACATATAATATTTTACATGTGATAATTATATTTCAATTAAGAATTAAGGATTTAAGATAACAGTCAGGCAATATGTCTTCAAATATGTAATCTACATATTTATCAATATCATTAATGTCTATATATTTGATATTGTCTTTTCCTATTATCGAATAAATATATTCCCAAAAGAATAAATACAGCAATAGACATACTTTATATTTAGTGTTGTAGTAATACCATACATGATATTTAGTTATTCTAAATTCATTCAAGACCTTGTTTATTTTATCTTTGCTTAATAAATGCCAATCAATCTCTTCAAACAAATCACTAAATTCTTTAGCAAATGATTTATATGGTTTAATGCTTAGTTCTCCTCCAAACCTTTTAATTAAATCTTTATTATTAAAAAACTCATCAATTTCTTTTTCAAATGACTCTCTATCAATTTTATGACAAAAATATACAGGAAATCTTTTGCGATATTTCATAAAGAATTTCAATTTTAATTGAAACTTTGTATATCCCTTATCCTTATATTCTTCAACAAACAACTTTTCAAGGTCTCTTGTTATACAGCATTGATTACAATATACATCATATTCACTTATTTTATTACACAGATTAGCAGGTAATAAGTTATACAATGTAAAATTAATATCATTCTTTTTATTATTACAACATTCACACTTACTATAATTAAACAGTGTCATTTTTCCTCTTAATATATTAAGTCAATATTTCTTTAAGTCGTTTTCAAAGAATTTATTTTATAATGGCCATAAGCAAGTGAGTTTACACTATCTGTCCAATATTTTTTGTTTTCATAACTACTAAGAGCAATTTTTTTAGTTGTTATACTAAAAATTCTGTGGTTTTTACTTCTAATACTATTAAATGACTTATGTATAACCTCATTAGTTTTTAAAACCGTCTCAAACTCTTCATATTTCATTTGACGTCTTACTGTGCCTTTTGCTATGCCCTTACATTTCTTATATTTTTTATCATCACCATAAACTGAGTAAGCATAGCATTTAGGACGAAGAGCTATAAACCCTGTTATTATTTTACTTTTTAATTCATCCTTAAATTTACCTAATACTTTCTTGTTATTCTCATCATAACATTTATGGTCCTTAGGATAATCTGAAAAATCTAATTCTTTTTTAATTGTATTCAGGTCTTCATAAATGTCATTGGTTTTAGTATGAAATACAAAACTATCAGTATCAGTATATACCATTTTAATATTATCTCCATATTTAGGCTTCATAACGTCATAATAAAATTTATACATGTGTTGCTTACTCAAATCTAAAATACTCATCCCAATAAATATAGGTTTGTCTAGTTTCAACTTTGTTTTTTGCTTTTCAACTCCAACCAAATTTTCATTAATGATATGACTATGTTTGAAGTTAGGATTACTTACACACTTCATATATCTAGTTTCATCACTCACAACCTCAAAATCTAAATGTTTCCTTTTATCCTCCATTGTTTTTCCAAATATGGCATTGTTCATCAATTTATAAACATCTTTCTCAAAATCATTTCTAGCATTCTTCCTCTTCTCTGTGTTAAACTCAATGTAAGGTTTTAAAACTTCTTTTTGTTCAAATTTAATTGCTCTATGAATTTTCTTAAGTTTTAACCCTTGCTTCAAATAAAATTGTAAGGTTCTTATATGGATTACATATTTTTCTTTATCATTTAAGTTCAATATTAATTTATTTGTTTTCTCATCCGTAGGTTTTTTATGATTTAAAAATTCATAAATTTCAATTTGTTTATCTGACAGCATGTCGGCTTTAACATTCATAACCTCAGGTGCCATTGGATAGTCATTGTGTAAATCGTGTAATTCTTTAGGATATTCTAAATCCACTTCTAGAATATATCCAATATTATTATTTTTGTAATTAATAATGTCTTCTTCTTTTAATGTATCATCCCATTTTAGATTTTTATATGGCAGTTTTTGTATCATGCTTAACCCGTACAAATTATTAGCATCAAAATAGTTAATATAACTACTTTCTTTATTTTTATCATATTCTTCTCCCATGTATTTATTATTTGCTTCAACTTTTTTAGTAGAAACCATACACATCCCGCCTCTAAGTCCCGCTTCTATCATTTCATACATTTCTTGGTCATATATTAAATCAATCTCTACACCAGTCATTTTAAGCATAGCATCAAAAGCAAAGTTAGGCAATGTATAATAATAAGCAGGGTCCAATCCATAATATTTCATACATACATCTCTAAAATTTTCGAAAATGTCAGTCAATAATAATACATCAGTTTTCAAATATAAATCATGGTATTCACCCATATTCTTAATGTCGAAATGCTTCCATATAATTTTTGCCCTTTCATAGTCGTTAACACTTATACCTTCTTCACTCAACTGACTATAAAAATCATCCTTACTCGGTAATTGCTCATCATCAAATTTATCAAATGAATTCATGTAGTCATAAGGATAAACGCCTTTATCAGTTAATAAATCTAGACATTTCTCACTCTTAATCACATCATTTTTACTACTGAACCTAAAATTATCTTTCCAGTTTTCACGCAATAACCATTTACTTTTATCTTCTTCATCTGTATTATCATACTTACTCATTGAAACTAACTTATCTAATGAAGCAGTTAAAAACCCAAAAGTGTCTTTAACACTCAAACTTTCAAAACTGATATTAATAAATTTTTCACTGTTCTGAGCGATGACACCTATTTTATTGTTGTTACTTAATTTATCCGCATTTTGAATAATTAAATGACCGTCATAATTTTTCATGTTATGAAAGAATACTGGAATTTTAAAATATCTATTACAAAAATTAAGATTGCAAACATTATGAGCACAACCTCTATACTTACCTGTAAAATGACAATGGTCTCTAACTTTTCTATATTTCTCTGCTTCCTTGGCATTCTTATAGTTCATTCTAAACTTATCCCCACAAATAAAGCAGTTTTTAGCATTTTTAAAATCTTCTTTGTCTTCATCAGTCATGTCTATTTTTTCGTTTTCTCCCATCTTCTCCTTTACTTCTGCCCTAATCTCATTAAGTTTTTGACAAAACACATCAACAGCATCTTTACCACGATACATAAATTCATAATTTGTATTATCAACAGCATTAACCATATTAAGCATAAAACCACATGGCTTATGCTCTTGATAAGAAAAAGTGTTTTTATCTTCATCTTCATCAGGTTTTTTCAGTTCCTCTGTCAAACATTCAAAATCAGCATATACAACAAAAGGACATCTTAACTTTTTGAAGTGATGCTTAAAACTAACTTTCTCATAAGGCTTAGGCATTACTATTTGTTGTCCTTCAACTTCCATGCATCCACTATCATAATGTTTATTTAATAATTCTTCATTTCTAAATCCATGATTACAATATTTACAAAAATAGGACTTACCATTATGATTACTTTTTTGATTATTAATAAGTCTGCTCAAACTTTTTATATACACATAATGACTGCAATCCTCATCATCAACTCTTAATAAATCAACATGAAAAGAAGCATCTTTATTTTTCAATTTTCTACTAATAACAATTTGTTCATTATCATCAATTTCATAAACATTAATGGATATTGATTTATTATTTTCTTCAAATATATC